GTTAAGTGTGGAAAATTTTACGGCTGTGTTGATGAATGTAAAGTAAATTTGTTCATTGAATAAACGAATGAACCTTTTTGTGAGATCCTCTTTAGTTGTTCAACGAGCTTCTTAATGCAAGCTTCTTGTTCGCCAACCAACAACAACCTCTCGGACGCTTTCTGCTCCAATACATCAGACTTCTTTTGTTCATGAGCCAAAACTTGACCCATCTACAAATATTCATTAATAATAACGGTTCACAAAACATTTTGATAATCAAGTATTTTGGATTGCATATTCTCAACCGACCGCAAACAAACTTCCTTAAGATACGAACCTTCTCAAATCTAGCTGCCCATTCCTTCTCCTTCATAGCTATCACGGCTTGTATTCGACGTTGGGCTTCCGTTAGCGGATCGTCAAGTCCCATCTAAAATCATTTTGCAAATTGTAATAAAAATTATATGAAAATCAACAACAACAGAAAATTTCAAAAAGAATATTCAAAGGATGTTTATATGAGCAGTTCGGTAAACTGAATAACCGAAAAAGAACCTGTTTTATTTCGTGGAATGCTGTAGCGACATCAATGGCGAACTGACTGTGTACCGTCACTGTACGTTGACGAACTCGGTGGCTTGATGATCGTGGATCTTCCCTAAAATTTCTCACACCGTTTCTCAAACTGAATAAAATTACTCAAATAATGTCGACTTCAACTCTGAATGATCTTCGAAGGTAGTGACCTATGTAGTCCGAAACAAAAAAAAATAACGCAACAATTTCTCTCGCTAAAGAACTCGCATAATTCATCAATTTTTTAGCACATAAACACGAAGTTTCCTTCAGCACACAAACGAATGAATGAAAAATTCCAAATATTATGTAATCTTATTGCGATGCATACAAAAAAATTTTTTCCACGCAGTCATAAGCAAAAGACACTAACTTTTTAGCTTGTTCAACAGCTTTTACTGCCGCAACTGCATTCGCATCACCGTGAGGAGGTGCACTTGAAGTTTTCACTGGAGCAGCAGTAACAACCTGAGATTGCTGTTGCTGTTGTTGTGGAGGCTGCTGATGAACCTGAGGCCGTTGCTGCTGAGACTGTTGCTGAGGCTGTGCCGGTGCTTTTGGTGTTGGTTGTGTTGGGTGGGCCGTTGATGGAGGAACGCTCGGCTGAGGCTCTGCAGTGGCCGAAACTGTTGCGGCTGCTGATGAAGCTGATGACGATGTGACAGCAGATACAACTGGAACACCCTGAGAGGCGACTGGAACTGCTTTTGATTGAGGCTGTTGCGGTTTTTGTTGTAGATGTTGCACTGGAGGAACGGTTGGAATATCAGCTGAAACGGAAAGCAAATCGAAATTTTCGTTCATTACAAATGATGATCACTGCAGTCACACTTCAATTATGATATGATATGATAGTTTATTGCCGAGTAAGAAATATGTACAAGCAATAAACAGCATGAAAGGCAGAGCGCTTTGACATCATACCGGTTGGTTGAATAAGTAAAAAATAATGACAATTATTACCGAATGTCAAACGCACTTAACTAATCTCAAACAAAGTTCTCATATATCAACAAGCAATTGAATTATACTACGACTGCAACCATTAATAACGGAAATTCACCATAGCGCAGCACTCAATACGGGCTTCGTTTACAAATTTCGGCGTTTTATCCCATCCTCTTCCTCAACCCTTTCCTGATGATGGCGTAAAGTGCTGAGAAGTTGGAAGGAAACACGTACTGCGTGCTCCCCAAAAGTGCATTACCACCCCAAACATTAAAGATGAATTACTGAAAACATCAACTTATTGAACGTACCAGCGGCGGCAGCCATTTGTGTTGCTGCTGTTGTTTGTGGTTGACTGTCGACTTTCGCAACTGGCGCAACGGTCGCTTCTGGTAACGCTTGTCCCTTCTTCGATGGCCGAGTTATGGTGCGGGAGTCAATGCTGAAACAATCAAAAGTTACGTTCAACTCACAATCAGCCAGAATTCTATTTAAATGGCAATTGTGACTCAATAATGAGTTATATCTCAATGACTCAATGCTTAATGGAGACTTTTGAAAATCAAAAATCAGAAAGGAATGATAAATCCTCTGAGACTATAGAGAGATACAATTCAATCTTCACAAACAAGCAAGTACGAACGAGAAGCAATCGTTCACTTCAATTACCGAGAATGATTCATCGAAATGACGAAATTTTCGATAACAATTTTGAAACGGATACAAATCAGGTCTTTTTAAGTGCGAACGACGGACACTTCAAATAAATAAATAATCACTACACATAAATATTTGACGATTGGTTCAAACCTCATACGAGAGAATTTAATTGATTGAGTAATAAATAAAAAAAAGACGATCGTGTTTACTGCGCAGAATCAAACACAGAAAACTTCCATCTCAGATGTCACTGCTCACTGATCAATTCATGAAGAATGAAATTAAAGGAATGACAGATTTTTTCTTGAAATGAAAACAATACCCCATAAACGCCATAATCACACCAAATAATACCTCACCACAATTCATTTTTTGGACTGGGGCGGGATATTAATAATCATAAAACATTTTTCTTCGCAACTAAATCAGTATTGTTCTCTAGAACGACAAAATCACATTTTACATAGGATACTTTGATTACTTTGATCAGTCAACCTTAACAATTAACTCTTGTATAAAATGTAATCATGAAGTTACATGATCTAGCAGGGCTCGCTGAACTACAAGAGAAATCATAAGTATGTCTTTGGCTTTCGAGGATTCACAAAAAGAGGGTATATTCTCTCGTTTAATTAAATGCATTAGCAATTAACCATTAGTGTTCACATGATTACAGTGGAGGTTTAAACAGTACAGTGCATCGACAAGCAAAACGTGAAAATAAAATACAATGGAATATAATGGTATGACAGCAATAACCAAAAAATGAACGCATAAATTATAGTTTCCTACATGAGCAATGATCAAAGATTTGAATTTCAGGGAGATATAGCAAAACGTTACATCTCCTACACATGACTCTCCTCTTCACCCTGGTCCACATAAATGTTTTACGTTTCTCACGGTCAGTTTTGAACACTGACCTCACTAACTATCATGCGAAGTTTCATTTGCAACAGAAATAATATTCAAAATACGGATCGATTATTTCAAATTATTTCACCTATTTTACTCAATGTCAATTGATAAAATAAATGCAAATTTCATAGAATCGTGCGATCAATCTGGGTTCAAAAAGGTACATCGCTCAAAATTTTGCAAATTTCCTTGCATCTGCCAAGCAGCAAATCGATTTTGCAATTTTGCAACTAGCAAGATGGTCGCCGCTATAGCACAATGTTAATGTTGTCTTTTACACGAGCAAACAACGCTGATTACATTTTGAGCGAATGAATCGAAT